TTTTGTTTTTTTTTTTTTTTTTTTTTTTTTTTGTAATGGGGACCGAACTTGGATCCTTGCACTTGCCAGGAAGGCAGCAGCACTACTGAGCTAAATCCCCAGCCCTCCACAACACCATTTTAATGACTACCTTAATGTTTTTGCTTAACTCTCACTTGTGAACACTAAGATGTTTCTAGGGTTTTAGCCATTATAAATCATTATAATTATAAATTATAAATGGTATTGAATGTCTTTAACCATGAGTCTTGGGGACCGATCTTAGAATCAGTAGGTCATGGGAAGAGCTATGGTGTATACTGAATAGTCCCTTCTCCCATCTGGGAATGGTGCTGCCTGATAATCAAGTCTGGATATTTGGAAGGAAAGGCACGAGGGCCAAGTCATTGAGCAGCATTGACAGATTTTTCTTCCCCATCCTGGGTCCAGCTCCCATACACATCCCTCCCATCACATATGCATCCAGTGCCTCCTGAGTGGCAGGAGCTACAGCTTTCAGAGGGGCTTCTTTGGCAGCGTAGAGAGGTCATCTTCTGTACACCCTGAACTTTGTCCTTTGAGGATGTAGCTCTCTGTCTCCTTCTCACCTCTGTCATGTCATGGACTTCTGGCCCCTAGCCAGAAAGGAAAAGATGAGCCATAGCCAAGGAAACTCCTTCAAGTGTAGCTGTGCTCTCACCTGGATTGATCAGTTTCATCTTGAAACTAAGGATGCTCTTAAAATCCTGGGATGAAGGGAGGGGCTCTCATGGGAGAAGGACAGAGAAAAAACAGGGCTTGCTTTTCTTCTAGGTTGTGTGTGAGACTGCACGGGAGTGGAGGAGGCGGAAGTATGAACCCACAGAGAAGAAAAGAGTTAATTTAGTAGATAGACCCTAGAGAAGATGGCTCTATAAAGCACAGTTTGGTCACCCCAACCCGCTCTCATTAATGACACCCCCTAGTAAAGGCAGAGCAGCCCTGCTTGAGGCTGTTGTCCCTCTATTCACTCCACAGTTAGGGGCAGCAGAACTGTGAGCTTGGCTGTCCAGTGTCTTCAAATGCCACGGAAGGGCCAGAGACCCATGACCTGGTGCAGGACCTGCAAACTATATCCCAGCCTGAGACCCAGTCACCAACCCTTGCTTCCTAAGCTTATCTGCATTTTTGTCCAAGCAGGAACGGGGACATTGGTCATTCTTTTAGGCTTGTGAGAGGCTTCCATTCCCTCTCCCAGGTTCCCTCTTCCATTCCCAAAGATGCATTTCCATAGATGCATTGCGGGACCAGTGATACTATAAAAGGGACCATAGCCATCCTACGCCTAACTTAATCCTCCACCTTTGTGTTTGTTTTTGTACCCAGAATTGAATTCAGGACCTTGCACTTACTTGCCAGGCAGGCGCTGTGCCACTGAGCTAAATCTCTGGCTCTCTCTTTCCCTTTTGTAGCTCCTTCTGCTCCAGTGATAAACCCACAGGCCCCCAACTCAGCCACGGGTTCCTCTGTCCGAGTGTGCTGGAGCCTATACTCCGATGATACTGTGGAGAGCTATCAGTTGTCCTACCGGCCAGTGCAGGATAGCCCACCTGGGAAGGACCAAGAAGGTGAGGCTCCCCCCAGATCATGCTTATGCCATGGGAACATTCAGGCCCATCAGAGGAGCTGGAAGATGGAGAAGGGAGGGGTCCTTCCAGCTCTCATGACCTGGAAACCTCAGAATGACCTGGAAACCTCAGAGTGTGAAATGCAGGCAGGTGAGCATGGCAGAAAGGCCTAGTAAGGCAAGTTGGGTCCTGGCTGGGGAGGAACATGAAGCCAAGCCATGGTGTCTAGAGTGTATTCAGAGCCAACAGGTCGAGCTGTCCTTGGATCAATCTTTGCCTGTGTAGGATGCAGGACAGGTCAGAGATGCCCCTCTTAAGCCCAACAGAGCTAGGTTCTAGCACATTCTGGCATGTGTGGATGAGTTGGGCTCTTCTCACATCAAGTCTGTGTTATAGGAGAAACTGTAACAAATACCTGAGGTAAATCAATTTTTAAGGAGGAAAGTTTTACTCTGGCTCACTGTTTCAGAGGATTCAGTCCTGGGTCACTGGGCCTCAATGACTTTGTACCCATCATGAAATACTACACATGGTGGCACTGTGTGGGCAAAGGAAGCTGTTCTTGTAGCAGTCAGGGAGCCATGAGAAAGACAGGAAAGGGCTAAGGCCCCAATATGCCCTTCAAGTCCATGCCTCCACTAACTTCCCTTTCTCCCAGTAGGCCCCCTACTGAAGGTTCTACCACTTCCCAGTAGCCCCGTAGGGTTCAAATAAGCCTTCGACTTATAGGACACCTATCAAACCATAGCAAGAAGGGAAGATCAGAATGCAGAACCCTCTCTGAGTACCTGAAGGCATCAGGGGGTCAAAGACAGCCTAGGTGCATGGAATCAGAGGATTCCCAGAATGGGACTTGGAGAGCTCCATTTTACAGATGAGGATGCTGAGACTTATCTAGAGAAATGACCTGTCTGTGGGAATACAGTGGATTGTGGCAGAATCAGGCTGAGAATCAGGACCACAGGCCAGAGTAGAAAGGTGGGAAGGTGAGGCCAGTGTTCTACCCAGGGGCCAAGAAGGAAATAAGTTCTAGAGGAAAGTAAGAGCTGATTAGCTGCAGCCTTTGCCAGGAGACAAGCCCTGTTGGCACCCCTTGCAGACACACAGAAGCCACAGTTTCAAGCCATGTCTCTCAAATGGACATGTTGTTAGAATGGAGCCGACATCAAAGGGTGGATTAATGAGCTACCGCTGCCTTTCAAGATTCTGGGGAGGTCAGAGTTGTACCCATTTTTGCTGCATAACAGCACTTCCCCAACTTAGTGGCTTATAAAAATATTTATTCTTTCTTATAATGCTTTGGATTAGCTGAGAAATTTTGGGCAGAGCCATATTGGTTAGGGCCGAGTGGTCTAGGATGGCCTCACTCATCTATGCCCCAGCTGGGAAGGCTGCGATGACTTGGGTGCTAGGGCCTCTCTGTGTGGTTCCATGTCCCCTGGAAGGCTGTCTCTGGTTTACCCTGTGCACCAGACTCCCCAAGCCTCTGTTTTCATCCCGTTTGACATTGCCCCATGGTCCAAAGCAAGTCACATAGGTGGGTCTAGCTTCAAGGAATGGCAAGAATAAAATGTTTTTCAGGAAGGATTTCTGGGGATCAAACCCAGGAATGCTGTGTCCCTGAGATCTTTTTATTTTTACATTTTAAGACAGGATCTCAGTCTTCCAAGCAGCTGGGATTCCACTACATCTGGCGGAGACAGTTTCTTAATAGAAAGAACCACAAAGTCACACTGCTGAGGGATGTGCATAGAGGGAATGATTTGCACCCAGTTTTGCCATCAACTACAATGAGATTCAGCACAATGGATTTGGAATTACTTGGCCTATTTTAAAGGTTGAAGTCTTGTCTTTTTTTTTTCTCTTTCTAGAGTTTACAGTGACCGTCAAAGAAACATACTGCTTAGTGACGAACCTTGAACCAAATACCCAGTATGAATTCTGGGCCATAGCTGAGAACAGGGCTGGCCCCAGTCCCTCCAGTGAGCATGCAGTATACATGACAGGTAATGGGGCCACTGTTTCCTGTCACAGGGCTTTCATTCCAGAGGACACCAGAGTTACAAGTTCTAGACATGGTAGGGCCCTTGATTTCATTTGGAAGGACAGGAAGAGCCATGTGACTTCTTTTCATTCAGCTGATATACTAAATCTACACACTACTAAGCAGGGACATTTTCTCTTGGTCGGTGCCCATATATCAAAGTGCTACACTTGGTTACACTGACACTGGAACCTTGTAGCCACCCTCTGATCCAGGACATTTGGAAAATTCCCTGGTGTTCTTCATGGCACTGAATCTTTTACATGGGAGGGCAGGGTGCTTGTGTTTGTCCTTGGCTGTGAACACAATAGCCAGAAATGAACAGGACAGTTGTTCACCACTCCTTTCCCCTGTTTTTAGCCCCTTCTCCCCCCATTATAAAAAGTGAGGAGATAAGGAGCTGCGAAGAGGCCGTGCTCATCTGCTGGGACTCTGGGAACCTGAATCCTGTGGACTCCTACACTGTGGAGCTGACCCAGGTGGAAGCGCCAGCAACCTCAGGGGTCACTGAGTGAGTCACAAGGGCATGTGCTGGGTGCTTGGAAATGTGGTCTGGGGAGAAGGTCAGAAATTGTGACACATGGGAAATCATAGGTTATTTACTTTTCACATTAAGCAGCTGCAGTACTGTTATCAAAGGTGAAGGATGACCAAGAGTGGAACTGGTTAACATCGTGTTTGCTTTTTTATAAAGCCAAATTAAGTTTCCCGCTCATTCATTCAGTAAGTATCAACCGATAGTCAGTGTTGACAGACGAGCCAGTGACCTCTTAGAGCTTTGAATGGCACAGTTTGCTGTGGCATGCACGCCACAGGTGGTGCCAAGTTGTGGGGAGGAAGAGATTGATTCATCTCTTGCCCTAATGAAAATGACAGCCAAACAGGGAAATAGCCAAAAATAAAAAATAAAAGCCAAGAAAACAGCAATGCGCAAAACACACAGTGCTCTGGGGCATTCAAGTGCTAGGAAGGAAAAAGAAATGTAATGAGCTAGAAGATGGGGTGGAGACAGGAACCCCTTTGGGTGGAGCAGACATGAAACTGGGACCTGACAGACCGGAGCAGCGAGCCTGAGAGCAGCAGACGTGGCAGCCATGCAGAAGAGAGGGCTGCAGGGACACAGGCTGGGGCAGGAGGGGGCTGGCCTGGCTCCATTCAGGGAAGAGGGAAAAGAAAAGAGAGACTGCAACTCGGTGTACAAACACTACTGTCTGCTGCCAGAGGCCATCTGTGGGCTCATGTTTACCTGGAGGCGAGAGAATGCGCAGTGTTCACAGGTGGATGAGGGCTGGGCTCAGGCCACAAGGGCTTACATCTTTGGCAGCTGGCAGCTTTGGACAGTGAAGGTCTCACAGCTGTTCCTCTGCTTATAGCAGGCTGTGCAGAAGTTTGTGGAGGGTTAACAACCCTGGGCCCCTTCAGCCCTGGTCAGCCACCTGGTCACAGACATGTACTGAGACTGCCATACATGCAATGGTCAGTGGTCCTTAGGCTCTGCCCTAGGACAGTTTATGACCCTCACAGCCCGATGCTGGCACCACATTAGACATTCACCAAGCATGGTGCCAGGTACCTGAGAATCCAGGGGGAGCTTAGGAAGAAGATGGCCACACATCTGAAGTAGCACTCCAGAGAGGTGAACAGAAGCTTTGGGCTCCTCAGGGGCCAGCCGACGGGCCTGACTGTGCTGCTGTGGGCCAGAGGACAATGACTGTGAGTGTGGTTTTCACAATGCCAGCTCTAGAAGGCACAGCTGGGCTAGTGTCCAGGTGCCCTGGCCCCACACTGACCACTGCTCTACTTCCCTACACAGGTCTGTGGTTGGCATCCCGACCTGCGAGTCACTGATACAGCTACATCCCGGGCAGAGTTACATGATCTGTGTGCGAGCCCTGAATGTGGGGGGCCCCAGCGCCAGGAGTGAGCCTGCTACAGTCTGCACCACAGGTCTGTGCTCTAGGCTGTGGTACTTTTGGATCCCAGATAGCCACTTGATGGCAGACCCCATGTTGTTGTGATGTCACCAGAAAATAGATGAATGTGCATAGATGTGGACACAGGGCAGGCCTGGAAGAGGCACTGAGGGACCAAAGCCCTGTGGTCTGGTTTTACAGATGGAGGATGAAGACCCAAGTCACTGAGATTTGGTAGCTGGGTAGTTTTTCTCCAGGCCCCCAGGTGGGCCAGAGGGTTGGCTGGCCCAACACCTCGCATCTGACCCAGGTTGAGTCCCTCCCTTGGGACAGGGTCCTGATGAAATTCCCAGAAGAGCCACTGGCCTCAGCCCCTGACCCCATCTCTTGTGTGCCATCCCCCCATCAGAGAACATCTACCCTCACCTCAAGTCCTAAGTCGGGAGACTCACTAGCAACATCCTCCCATCACCTGTCACCCTGGCCCTGCTTGCTAAGGTGTGCAGCAACCAGGTGGCTTTTCCACACCTCACGGCGCTTACCCGGCTGGACCCGCTGTGTGGGTGACAGGAGCCGCAGCCTGACTCAGCACTTGGAACAATATGCCCTTGATGGGGATCTTTCACTGAGACACTGGGCCATTGTGTACTCCTTTCCAAGGCCGGGAGAGGGCCAAGATCATCCCCCATTTATATTCCTTCCACATGGATGGCAAGAAGTCCTGCCGCCACCCACAGCCGTAGAACTGGAAAGGGTGACTGCCAGAAGCAGAACTCAGGGTGTTTTCTGTCTTGTGCTGGGGCCTTTTTTCATTATTTGCAGTTCTAATTTTTCCATGCTGGCTTCTTTTGAAATATCAAATTCGGGCTGTTTAAATAAAAGAAAACAGGGAGGAAAAGGTACAGCTAGCTCTGGATTATTCAGTCATCTCTGAATTCATTTGTTCAAATAATTTTAGGTGCATATATGGCCCTGGGAATTAAAACCAGGGCCTCTGCACTGAGCTACATCCCCAGCTCTTTTATTTTATTTTTTATTTTGAGATAATCTCACTAAGTTGCCCAGGCTGGATTTGAACTTGCAATCTTCCTGCTTCAGTCTCCTCCAGAGCAAATAAATTTTTTAAGAGTGTACAGTATTTATGGAAAACTTTCATGAACAATAATCAGCAAAAATATAGATATTAAAAATGATCTTTGCCCAAGAACATGGGGTAGTAGGAGCTATTCACTGTTAGTTGTGAGGTAGGAATGTGCCTTCCTTTCAACAGTCAGCAAATAAAGTTCCTAGTGGCAGGGGTTGTATAAATAATTGTGAACAGTTAGGTGGTGATGCTTGAACTAAAGTTTGAAACAGTGAAGATATAGGATGGGACCTTAAGAAAAAGCAACTGGTCTCAGAGACAGTAATGGAGGAAGAATTACTGTTCCTAAATAATGGTTTTATTCATAATTTTTATTAGATCTGTACAACTTCTTGATGAGTTTTGTTTTAGTCATGACTTGAGGGGACTCATCTCTTTCCTTTTTCCCCACTGTCCTAACTGCAAGGTGGATGGTGAATTTTGCTAACCTTTATCAAATGGTCATTAAGAATTCCCTTGACTCCTGTTTCCCTTAGTGAGCAAGTTAGAAATTCTTGTCTGGGCAGACATTTCCAGCCCAGACACGAGGGACCAGCCACTGGAATCACAGTAGGGTTCAAATTTGAGTCTATCATCTGCCAGCCAATTTCTCACCCACCTGCACCTCAGCTTCCCCATGTATTAGACAGCAACGCCTCTTTCTGTGGGTGGTTGTGAGGACTGAAGGGTAAGATACACAAACAGCTTCACTTTGTGCTGGCCCCAGTGCTGTCCCTTCCAGCATAGCTGCCACTAGTCCACAGGAGGCTGTAACTCTGAGGAGTGCTGGGGACACTATACCCACACATGGGGCTCCTGTGCAGACAGCAGTGAGGTGACTGTCTGGTGTCTTTTGTGTTCCCTGCCCTGCAGGAAGCTACTTTCCCCTGAACAAGGCCACTTGCCACCCCTGGCTGAACATTTCAGAAGATGGGTTTATGGTGATCCGAAGTGAAAGGAAAAGCCTCACTTGGGAGCCACTGCCCAGCCAGACCCAGTTCACCAGGTACTACACACACACGCACACGCACGTGCGCGCGCGCACACACACACACACACACACACACACACACACACACACACCACTCAAAAGGATGTTCTCAGAACTGCTCTGGTGACACTGCTGGGCGAGGAGTGGGATTATGACGAACAGACGCAGCCTCATAGGGGGAAAGAGAATCCCAAAAATGAGGGTGGAGGAAGGCCTGGTTGGGGAAGGCAGCCCTGTGTGGCCATAGTGGCCCCTAAGGAACTCAAGGGGTATGGGTCAGGACTCAGGATGGAAGGACAGAAACAGGACTCAGTCTCCTGCTCCTGAGCCCAGGGCTCTTTCTCCCACCCTGAGACACTTTGCATAGAATCCCTGGGCAGGGGCACAGAGCGAACCCGTTCTAAAGGGACTCGGCTTGAGAGAGGGGTCACCCCACCTGCCGCCATCTCTACCTGCTTGTCCAGAGCTCAGCACTCCATGTCGAGGTGATTTACTGGTGCTGTCCTTCTTTCTCCAAAGATGTACAAAAGACTTAAAAGGCAAATATACTGAGAAAAAAGTCAAAGCAATAAAAGAAAAAGAAGGGATCAGTTTCCAGGATTAAACAGTAACATTCTGGGAGCCAGGGCAGAAGGTGTCTTTGGTAGATAGATTTTGGAGGGTAAGGATCTTCCAAGGAAGAAAAGCAGCTCTCACCTGAGGGCTGGAAGAGTCCCTGATGGAAACTGAGTCTGGCTTCCCTGTGTGGGTCTTGGATCACTCCTCAGCTGGCTCTTCCTCACCCCTGCCTGTTTTTCTACTGCCCGTGGGGTAAGCACCCACTGCATGTGTTTGTGTGAAACAGCCAAACTGCAGAGTATAGAGGAAAACAGTTTTATCCCTTCCCTCCCATTCAACCTGAGAATGAGAGAGGAGTAAGATGCATCCGGGTCCTATCTGACAGGCAGGGACACACTTAGTGCTGATCTCATGGATGTTGTTGTGGCCCCTCTGACTGCAGCTGTTAACACAGGAGCCCCAGCCTCTGGTAACCCCTCATATGCCATCAATCCCTGCATGCAACACTATGACTCTAGCCTCTTTCTACTGAGGTTTGTTCAGATCTCATCCCTCACCCCTGGAAAAAAAAAAAAAAAAAAACAACAACAACAAAAAAAACAGAAAATGAAACAACACTGAGACAGCTTTCCTATGGTGGGTTCCAGTCACACCTGGGAAACACAGACCTCTGACCCAGCTGCTGCTGTCCTGCTTCCTTCAAGGGAGCTTTCTGGGCAGATCCAGCCTCAAGCTTTTACAACATAACTTTGGTGTTGCACTACAAGTTGGTTTTGGCCATTTCCTTTACCACTGTTGCTTGGATGGTCTAGCCCAGTGGTGGTGAACCTATGGCATGCGTGTTATTGTGTTTTTCTTTTACGACAAAAGATGTAAAGGTATGAGTTGTTTTTTTCTAAACTAAAACCTCAGTATTCAGGTTTAATTGCAGTGTTGGCACTTTGCCATAAAGTGGATTTTGGGTTGCAATTTTAGGCACACATCTCTAAAAGTTCTAGTATCTCACCTTGAATTTGGGGAGTACTGAACATCTACTGCTTTCTTCTTGGCTTTTTGGGGTCTAGCCAAGCTGTGTTAGAATCTCATTTTAATAAGTTGCCAATGTACCTGTGGCCCTGGGAAGAGCTGTGCTGTGTGCTAAAGGTGAGGAGATGAATATATTGTCTCTGTCCACATGAGGCTCAGATCTGCTGGTGGGGCAGATGTAGACACCAGTAAAAGAGGAATCAAACATACAGACAAGACTTTGTTGGAGGTCCAAGGAAAAATTCTTGGAAGGCTAGAATTTTGAGGGATAAATAGTTCTCTAGGCCAACAAGACAGACAAGTGCTTTCCAAAGCAGGAAGGCAGCTGCTGTTTAGAGAACCGTAGTTTATAATGCCCACTGTACAGGGCCTGTGCTGGGAAAAGGTGGAGGAGACACTGGAGGTGGGTAAGGCTCGGTGCAAAAGAAAGTGGATTTTATCCTTTATGTGGTGGGATTTACTGAAGGACTTAAAGCAGAGGAACAGAAACAATCATGTATACATTTCAGAAATACCAATACCAGAGCATGGTGACAGGTAAGCTAGGGAGGAGAGGGAAAGGCAAGGAGGAAACAGATCACACAGGAAGCTGCAGAGACCCTAAGTGAGCAGGAAGGCAGGTGAGAGGCACCCACAGATTCAGCAGAGCTAGTACATAATAGGCCGAGGGTGAGTGAGAGGGCGGCAGAGGGGCGTAGGATTACCCGTACCGCTGGTGTGTTTACAGGGCTTTATGAGGATTCTCATCCAGTCCTCACAACAGCCAGAGAAGCCCAGACTGGGACAGATGAGGAAACTGAGGCATGGCGAAATTAAGGAACTTGCCCTTGTTGGGAATTAAACCCAGGGACTTTGTTGCACTGAGCTTTATTTCTTGAGACAGGATGTCACTGAATTCCCCAGATGGGACTTGAATTTGCCACCCTCCTGCCTTAGCCTCCCAGAGTGCTGGGATCACAGGTATGTGCCACTGTGTTGGAATTCTTAATCCCTTTCTTATGAAAACTTTTTGTGTGGCAGCACTGGGGATTGAACCCAGGACCTTCAATGAGATATATTCTATGTCCTTTTTTATTATTCATTTTTTAATTTTAAAATTTTTATTTTTTATATTTTTGGTACCAGGGATTGAACAACTTGGGACCTTGCACTTGCAAGGCAGGTGGTAGAACCACTGAGCTAAATCCCCAGCCCAGTCCTTTTTATTTTTTTTTCTTTAATTTTTAAAAAAATTTTTAATTTTTGAGACAGGGTCTTAAATAAGTTGCTAAGTTGCCCAGATGGGACTACAGCTTGAAATTCTCCTGCCTCAGCCTCCCTCAGTGCTGGGATTATGAGTGTTCACCACCATGTCCAGCAGTAAGGGCATACTATTAAGAGTTGAACTGGGATTAAACTGGAAACTGAGTCTGTAGTTACTACCTCCCTCTGTTATACAATATAATTCTACTGGCAGTGAAACCTGTGGGTAGATTTTGATAATTTGGGAGGAACGTGTGATCTCATTCATCTTGGCTCAGCTTCTGAATTCTGTGCATCTGCATGGATTCATTCCTGACATTAGGGTTAAAGGAGGGTCAGAGAGCCTTTTGTCTTGTACTGTAAGCAAGTGGGAGCCAGTTCATGACCTTCTGGCACATGCTTGTGAATTTTTTTTAAATGAAAAAACAAATCAAACCATGATTATTACTAGAAAAGTCTTAACCAGTAAGAGCAAACAGAGACTGTTTGGTGGTTCCAGTGTCTGCCCCCCACCCCATGACCAGGCACTGTAGTACTCCTCTTTTAGCCTTCAGCATCAGCCTGCTGAGCTTTGAGAGCTCCAGGTACTTTACAAGTGAGGTTCTCCTACCTCCACGTTCACAGACCACTACCCTCTGACCCCAGCAGCTGACATCCCTCACCTGCACAGCCTGGCTTGGGACACCCCAAATCAGATGTGTTTCTGCTTTCTAAATCAGGTGTGTTGCTGTCATGGGAAATCTAATTCCAGTCCGAGGGTGCCATTACTGGGAGGTGGAGGTGGATGAGTGTTTGGACTACACGGTTGGTGTGGCCTTTGAAGATGTCCCTAAGCAGGAGGACCTGGGCGCAAATGGCCTCTCCTGGTGCATGAGGCACACATTTGCCTCATCAAGGTAAAACAAACTCTTAGTACCCAAGACTAAAACTTGTAAGGTTTGAGTAGGAGGGTTTTAAGTTCTGTATCTTGTTATAAAATATTCCCAGGTATTTCAGGAGCTTTCTTTAAAGTCTAACCAAGAGAAAGAGCAGCTTTTGACACCAGGAGAGCTAACTCAGTGGAGGTCTCACTAGGGGCCAGCAGTCCTCGACGCGTCATCTCATTTACTTTGCACAGTGGAACGACTGTGACAGTGCTTGAACAGTGGATAAACCCACACTGTGTGGACTCAGAACTGAATTTAAACCTAGGCCGACTGGCTCTACAGACCACATTCTTCACGAATGGTAGATTTTCATTTATGCTCAGCTTCAGTGTTACTAAGTGGATACAGTTTGATTTGAAACTCCAATTCCATCTTTTAAGTTGGTGTGGATAAGGAGATTAACAATTATGGCTTCTATAGTGGAGTAATTTCAGTGACTGGTGATAACTGCATGGAACCTAGGTCAGCGGACGGAATGCTCATGTAGAAGGCCAAGGTTACAACCTTTGCTTTGAAAATTGAAAAACAGCAACCAAAAAACACACACTTCTTTCCCAGGACCCCGTTTAATACAGAGTGTCCGATTTCCCTTGACTTAATCTTATTAATATTCATCCAGTGTGTTCTGCTCATGGTTCTGCGCCTCATGGTTATTTAAACTTTATCATCATGCCTAAGCATAACTGGGAAGACCAGCTTCCCCCCATAAGATCTGCACTACACTGGACTCTACTAAACCTCAGAACCAGTTTGGGTACACAGGAATTACTATGCACTGAGTCAGATATTACCTGAGAGCCTGCCTCAAGTAAGACTAAGGATCAAAGTCTCCTCTCCTTTAGAGAGGTAAGAATGCGGGGGAGGGTAAAACAGGAGAATAAGAGAAGTTTATAGGAGTCTATGTAGGAGAAGGTACAGGGATTAAAAGAAGAGGGGTGGACACCTAAGAATCAAAGGAAAGACAAAAGCAAGGCCAAGCGCTGGAGCTGGAGCAGAAGCTTCTTGTAGTCCTATCAGAAAGACACAGGAGAGAGAGAGAGGGAGAGAGAGAGAGAGAGAGAGAGAGAGAGAGAGAGAGAGAGAACGGTGAAGTTTCCCAGCAGACTCCCACTTTTTGGTTCACAGTCTTAGACTGTATTTGTTGTTGGGGAGGAGGGGCTCTTCAGGCTTTTAGTGGCTGCGGTGTTTAGAAGAGAAGCTATGGGGAGGTAAGGTGAACTGGGACAGAGACAGCCTGATTTGCTCTCACACATGCAGGTCCTATTCCAAGTGTTCACCCCAGTGTTCTGGCCCAGTGTGGGGGTACAGAGCTCTTCAGAGGTTTGTCCACAGCAGGGTTAGGGCAGGCCTGAAGCTGGCCTTGGTTTCAGCAGCCACTTTGCAAAGCACACAGGACACTTAGCCTGCCTGAAGATGGATGCCCTGTGTGGGTTGAAGTTTAAGATCTGGACACTTCAGAGTACCTCTGCACACAGCGTCTGCACCAAAAGGCCTGCTTCCGTGTCACACGAAAGCCCACAGGGATCCAACCTCCTTCAAATGTCTTTATTAAAAGGGTTTACACAGTGGAGCCTTGAGACCCAAACGTTTCAGATGTGTTCTATTTCTGTGCTAACTTCGATGTAGTATTAGCTCATGATTCTACATATGTTTCTTAGGTTAAGAGGTTGCACAAGAACAATGTTTAAAAATGTTTCTTAGAACAAAGTTTAGAAGAGATATATAGCTTTGGAAACAGCCAGTTACAGTGGTAGTTATTTATTAAAGAAAATAACAAAATCATAGGAGTATGAATAAAATATGAAATGTTCTATAAATAGCTCATTTACAGATTTTCTAAAGTTTTGTTGTATCAACATCTAATTTTCAGGCATAAGTATGAATTTCTGCACAACAGGACAACTCCAGATATAAGAATAACTGTTCCCCCAAAGAAGATCGGCATTCTATTAGACTATGAGAATTCAAAGTTGTCTTTTTTCAATGTGGACATTGCTCAGCATCTGTACACATTCACTTGTCAGCTTCGACAATTTGTGCACCCCTGTTTTTCTCTGGAAAAGCCTGGGTGTCTAAAGATATGTAATGGCATTTCAATACCAATGCACGCCACTTACTATTAGACCTTTCTGATGTCTTTCCTTCTTAATTTCTGTGCCGTCTTCTACCACTCGTGCCTCAGTTGGCTGAATCTGGCATTCAGGCACCTGTATTTGGTGTAATCTGTGGTTCATGTAATTGGTGGCAGGCTGATGTGCTGACACTTCTTTCCCTGATCTCGAGTCTAGTCCTGGGCACTGCTGCCTATGTAACGCTAGGGCAGTCTCAACAGGCTGAGCTGTAAAATGAAGGAAACAAGGCATCTAAGTGAACTCAAAGGGCTCTCAAGGGATCAAGCTGCATTTGTCCGTATCTGTAAGAGAGTATGTCTCTGAGGCCTCTGGAGCTCAGGAAAGTCTTGAAGCTTTAGCAGCCCCTGCTATTTGTATTTCATCAGTTACCAAGAACAGACCTGGCAATGTGAGAGGCTGCCCTTACAGGGCCTCTGAGCCTCCTGCTAAGTGGCGCACCGGATAGTCAGTAATGCCCCATCCTCACTCTCACAGTGCTCATGCCCCTCTGGCTTTGAAATCACCTCTGTCACTAGCACTTCCATAAAGGCAGGGACAGTGTCTGTCTCATTCATCACTTGTACCTCAAGGACTAACACACAGCAGGTGTAGCCCAATACTTGTTAAATATTTTTACCAACCACTGCTGTTTGGCCTCGCTGCTCTCCATGTGAGCCATAGCGAGCACTTTGAAAACTCCAGCATAAGACCACTGGCCAGACAGGATGAAGACACCTGAAGCAAAGAGGGCACCTGGGGCACTCCTTACTACTGCTGCACACTAACACATACTGCAGCCTCCACCTGAACATGGGGCTTCCACTGTGTGTGATGGGAAGAGGGAGGGTGAGGATACAAAAGAAAACATTGGTTGCAAGTGATTCTAGGAATGCTTCTGCAATGTGAAAAGCCAGATTTGAAATCGGAAGGCCAGGATTTGACTACTTTCCCTCATAACATGGAAAAGTCACCTTATTTTTCAGTGTTTGTTTCCTTTCAAACCAAGGGAAATGTAATACTACTTGTCTCAGGATTAGCAGACTTAATGACAAAACTAAGAGCCCTTAACGATACACAGCATATAGTAAGTGTAACATTTCTTAAATCTCCACCCACCAAGGAGCAGTGCTGTGCACTAGAAAGCAGTGGGTGGTCTCTAGCCAGCGGCTCTTGGGTAGCCTGCCTAAAGGCCCTGTGCCATCCAGTGACTTTGGGGCCCAGCTGTCAGGTGCATTCCTGGTTCTCTAGCTCACATCCCCAGCTGCCATGGAAGCTCTGCACACAGCACTGCCAAAGCTGAGTCAAGATGCAAAGAAGTCCACTAGTGGAGCAATTAGCAGCAGAGACAATTTAGTACCCTGTGCCATGGATGCCTCTCTAAACACAACATACCCTAAGGTCATCACTTAAGGTTTCCTTAGGTGAAAAATCATTTATTTTAAACTCTCAAGTTTTCTAGTACACTCAAAGTCTGACCCATGGGACACCTGTCATCTTCTATGGAACTGTCTACTTGTGTGAAAAGCAGCTCAGATTCCCAAATTAACCACCCTAACAGTGTAATAGCTTGTTACACACACACACACACACACACACACACACACACACACACACACACACACATATATACACACCTGAAACACACACACATACACAACTGCCATGACAAGCTGGATCGCCTTCCCTGAAATAAGGTGCAGCAGATTTAAGTACAGAAATTGTTTAGTCGTAAACAATTAAAATATACACATGTACACACTCAAAAATGTTTCCAGCTATTGAAACAGAAATTACCAAGTAGTAAATAAGGTATCACACCTCGGACATGTTTGAATACAGGGTTCTATTAGACTTTATGGAATATTGCACAAGTAATTTGAACATGGATAAAATTTGACACTTGTTTAGATTTTAATAAAGTATTTGACCAAGAATAAACTGTCTGGCATCATCTTTAACATTTAAAATTCACTTAATTTAAAGAAGGAAACAACCAACTTCAAGGATCACAGTTATTTAGCATAATGAACCTTCTGTTTAAACATCTTTCTTGACTTCTGTAGGAAAAAAAGTCTACAACAAAACTAAACATCACTCAATGTGAAATAGGAAGAAAGGGGCTAAAGGTGTAGGGAAAGTGGGAAGGGTAGGGGAAAGGTAATAAGGAAAAAGAGAAAAATATGAGAAAATGAAAAAATGGAAATGAAGTGTTTGTAAAGAGAGGGGAGGAGGGGTGAAGGGAGGGCAGGGACAAGGGGAAAAAATGAGAACCAAGACCTGTCATGTAGAGGTACAAGATCCCAACAATGAATGTAACTGTACTGTATACCTAAAATGTACCAATAAACTCAATGAAAAAAACCCAAAACTAAACATCACTTGTTTTTTCCCGATTTCTTTAAATACCATGAACAAGCTGCTAAAACTTAGTTTCAACAAGGGGCAGTCTTTACCTCAAGGCTGTGTGCACCTGCAATCTGCTGATAAATCTGTTAAAAAAAAAAAACATTTTTTAAAAAAGTAGATTACTGAAGCCACAGTTCCTGAGACTGGGCAGTTAAAACAAATGATGATAAAAATCTGTGCTCCTTATAGCTTTACTTGTACCACTTTTTAACTCCTGAGCAAGTCATAACACAAGCTTTGGCTTTCCCACCTTAACACAGGCAAAGAAAATATGTCAAACAACCACAGAATCTGGGTGAAAACCAGCAAGGGTTTAGTAATCAAAATATTCAGAATTTACAGCACCCTTCTTAGATGGACTTGGAAAGTTCATTAGCAATTTAAAACAAATGACATTAGTTTGTGGCAAAATTAAATTACCTGTTATTTTAAAAGTATATGTGTATATTCTAACAAAAAGTATATGTATAGTGATAACTGGCTTCCTACTGTTTCAAGTGATGTAGCATCACATACATATCCAATAAAAAATATTTCTAAAGCATGTACTTGGTCATCAGTACAAAGCATAACAAAGGCAGGGATAGCAGGGCCACCTCAATACTTATCGTCCACAGTGTGTTAAGACCATAATCTTCGTCAACTCACACAAGAAGCTGCAACACAATTCGCTGTGATGTGGCATTTTGTGACTATACTGCTATCTAATGAGGTTCTGCCACTAGAAAACTTTCTGAGCTCTGGGAAGCCTGCACTGCAGGAAAATCCTCTCCTTGACTTACCAAATCACATGTCCAATATCTAGTAACCTTCCTATTAGCAGGGTAAGATTCTCATGAGTTCACTACAGCTTTCTTACCTATAAACTATCCTTATTCTCTACAGTAAGACCATAGAAAGTGTCTAATTGCTGTTGGTAGATAAGTAGGTCTTGGATTTATTTTGTAAACAAGACCTGTTCTATCTTACCTTTTCATATAGGAGGCTGAATGCAGAGTCAGCTTGACTTCAAGGACTCTGTTTTCTTAGTCTCCAGAAGAACATGACCAGGCCCAGCTTTTAAAGCACTCTTTTAACATGTCACAATATTAAAGGGAAGACAAGTGGGAACTGCAAGCTTAGGAGACCGGAACTATCCACATGTGCTTCTTTTGCTGCACCCAACAATTAAGCTAAATGTAATGTGACAGTTTATTTGGAAAAAAGACTCCAGCCAGGCAGCATCTTTTCTGTCACCAGGAAGTCTCCTGGAAGGGGTGACTATGACCTGAGCACTGCTGCCTGAAAGGCAGTCATGATTTTGGGAGAGGTACTCCTGAATGGGTGCTAGTTCTTGTCAAATGGACTGAGTCCCACTACTTCCTTGCTTATTTTCTCCATTGCCAATTCCAGAAAAACAATTAAACACAACTCCCTGATGGACCGTTCTTCACTTTCCCAGGCTCTGACAGAATCAGGGTTTTCTGCTCTATTTTCACTTACTCTACTTCTGGTGGAATTAACTTATTTGGACTGTAAAAAGTAGAAAGCTTGTAGCTGAATAAAACAACTTGCTAATGTTTTTGTAGCATGAATTTGGATCCTAATCTTACTGTCTCTACCATTATCATCCCTAAGCCTAAATAAATGTGTGTCCTTCCCTAGGTTTAACAGATGCCCTAGAATTCAAACAGACTAAACTGACAAGACAGCAGAGGCCTGGCTGCAGTGCAGTCTGCAGTACCTTGCCTGGACTTGAGGGCAACCTCCAAGTCTTTCTATAGATGATCTGTCATTCACATAGAGTTTTGGGATAATGTCTGTGAGTTGTTATAGCAAACAGTCTAAATAGTGGTCAGTTATAATGTTTCAGAGGTGAACACATACCTTGTTTAGTGATCCCCAGGCCTTCCTGGATAAAGATATGTAACAAGTAATAAAACTTCACCTTCACATTTTGTTACTACACACAAATGGGAAATGACAAAAGCAACATGAGTGACACTCTCCACCTGTAGTGTCAAGGTAGGTGACTGACACAGTTCTAAACCTTGACACATACTGACTTTGTCTTGGATGGATTCTTCCTGTTTCTAAACGTACATCACAACCCTCTTCACTTCTCACCCCTCCAATCCCTGCTGCCAAAAGACGAATTGTTTAGCAATCCACAGAGAAAAATACTGGGGAGGGAAACTAAGAAATTGAGCTCTAAGTCTCGGCTGTCACTGACAAAATGTGATTCTACATTTGTCTCCTCTCTCTACTTCAGCTTAAACTGAAAAGAAAGAGTTGACCAAGATGGCTTTGTTCCATTCTATCAAACGAATTTGCTGGCAGATTCAGAAAACGTAAAAACTGCCAACTCTGTGCGCGCTTAAAATTAATGTAACAGGTGCTGCTGCCTCAGGGAAGAGTTACAGAGTCAGGATGCCTGAGTTTGTACCGGCCTATCGGCATGGTCCATGTAAAAACTGAAGATGTTTTCTTAAACGTCACTTTGTCTTAATGAGTATTAATCCCTTCCACATCTAACCCCACCACAGCCGCTCCATGAGCTAACAACCTCATTGTTCAAGAAAGGTGATGAAAACGAAGCACAGTGAACTAAGAATGAGGCTTCGGTGGATGGCGGTGCTTACCCAGCAACAGGTACTCCTACCTGTCATCTCTACTCTCAACTCCCTGCCACATCCCTTGAAACCTCGTACATCAGTCTGCCTACTAGGATGCTAATGTCACTCGCCCCGCCGGGTGACCAGAGACTGCTCCTACACCACGAGACCCACGTTACCATCTATTCCGTATCTGATCTTCCTCTCAACTTCCCTCTCCTTCCGGGGGAAAGGGTCCCTTTCCGTGTGGTTTCCTGGGAGTAGGCGGAAGTCCCGCCTCGTGCGTTGAGCGCAGGCGCAGAAAAAGTCAGCTGGTTGGCTCCCTCAGAATGCGGTAGGGGACTCAAGTTGACAGCTGGCAGGAGTGGACCTCGTTATAACTGGGTCTATGCCGTAGGGAGTGGAGAGAGGACTAGGACCGTTCGCCCCGAAATTCGCATCTCCTCCCAGTCTTCCTTCCACCCCCGCGGACGTCGCCTGGGAACGAGCCTCCCTCCCCTCGGCTACCGTCGCTTCCTGCCTTGCTCCACCAACTTCTTATATTTCGTTACTGTTTATCTTTGTACCCACGTCGCTTGCCGTAATGACTGCCATGTTTTGGTGGCATTGGCTTTACATCACCTCAGAGAAGGAGCTCATCATCGTCTGGTAATCTCCCACTCTCATGGAGGGAACAAAGCCTTCTTGATCCTGGACTCTACTGTGGACGTGGTACTTTTGGATCTAGGAAGAGAAGTTAAAACTGCCTTTGTATTAGTTTCCTGGGTCAGCCATTAGAAACCATCACGTACTAGGTGTCTTAGAGCGATAGATATTCTCTCACATTCTGAAGTCTGGTTCAAATCAAGGGTATGTAGTCCATGCTTCCTTGAGGTTGACTCTACTTCTGGGTGGGGGCCAGCAATCTGTGTTCTTTGGCATGTAGCAGCTTCACTCCACTCTTGTCAAATGGTATTCATGTTCTGATTCGGAGTCTCTTATAAAAACATCCGTTCTATTGGATAAAAGGCCTACCATACTCCAGTATGACCTGGTCAGAACTACTACATAACTACTACTTGTGTCTACAATGACCCTATTTCCAAATAAGGCTACAAATGAGGTTCCAGGAAAGACATGGATTTTGGAGTGTGACTAACCAGACCCGTACAGCTGTCAAAATGAAGAAATAGGCAAATGACAGGTGCAGTGGCACAGGTTTATAATCCCAACATTCCAGTAGGCTGTGCAGGAGGATCGCCACAATTTCGAAGCCAGCCTGGACTATATAGTGAGTTTAAGGCCAGCCTGAACTACATAGGGATACTTTTTTTTTTTTTAAGGCAAACCAAGAGCTGACAACGATTAGCTGTAGTACAATTCAATTCAAATGTAGTTCACTTGGCTCTGAGAAATGCTCATAGATATGTAGACAGTTGGAAAGGAAGATTCAATTTGGGTATGCCGTCATAGACTCACTCATAGAAAGCATTCAAGGCAAAAGAACTGAGGCAAGTAAGTACTGGTTGCACTGTGAAATAAATTAGAGTAGGAAGGATCTTAAATAGGGGCTAAAAGTTTGGATTTTATTCTCTGCGAAATTAGGAGCAAGTCAGTGTTTCAGCAGAATTGTGCTTTGAAGATTACCAGTTTAGCTCAAGCCTATTTTGTATTTCTTATTTCACTTTAAGAAGATATAAGTCTTATTCTGTGGATATAACCTGTGTTTTATTTTTTTGTCCTTGTGTCCACTTACACTGTCCTCTACCTGGAATGCTGCCATTGAGCTGCCTAATTTTCACTTGCCCATTTTGCTCATGGATGTTGTATTCATCATGGGACAGGGATGGAGGGTTCACCTCATTACACTAGTATCTCCCAAATACTAAAAATTGACAGTGATAGCAAAAGGAGAGAAGACTATAGGCTAAACTCATATATATGTAAAGCTCTACAAATATTAGCAAATTTAATCCAACACTCTAGAACAAGAACATTACCACAAAAATTATTTAATATTAGAAAACCTGTTACTGTGATTGTATTAATTTAGTGGTTTATTACTCAATTGATAACAAATGTTTCTAAAAACGTAGCAAAATGGGGCTAGATAAATATCAATTTGACAAAAGGCACTTATCAGAAATCTTTAGTAAGCAGCATACTTAATGGTAAAAGCATTCCTATTTTGTCAGAAAAAGATGAGTATCTACATTCAACAGCGTGGTAGATTTTCTACCCAATGCAATAAAACAAGAAAATGGCAAAAAGCATTAGGAAAGGAAGAAGTAAGAGTAACATTTTTAGGAGATGTGATTTTTTCTCTAAAAAATAAAATGCTATGTTTAACTATTAGATGATGCAATGAGGTGGCCAAATAGATTAACATAAGAAACATTTTTCTGATACACAACTAAAAGGAACCCATCCAAAGGTGCCATAGGAAGTACCTATGAAGACACTGAACAAAAATATATGTGACTTACATAAAAATATGAAATAAAGTTGAAATACATTAAAGATTTAATTAAGTAAATGTAGAGTTAATATTCTAGAATAGGAAGATTTGTTTTGTTAAAGATATTATTATTGCAAACTAATAAACAATTTTGATACCATGCCTATTAAAAGTAGGCTCTTTCAAATACTATTTGGTCAAAGTATATTATCCTTAGATACACTATTAGGTTCTAGTTATTGATATCTCCTATAAATGAGATTGGTATGTAGACCTGTTGATCTACTATATTAATCAGGTTTTGATAGTTAAATTTATATTAAATTCATCAGTTAGGGAACTTCTCATGTTATGTGAAATAATTTAACTTTTGAGGATCACTTAACCTCTTTTAAGTTTGAATAGAGAACTCAGATGTGAAACTATTGTATTATATAATAGATTTAAAACTGTGTGTCTATTCTCATGTAATTGTACTATTCAACTTTTCTACTGTTTCTGGGATCAATTATGGTAGTTTATATTTCACTTGAAAGTCATTCATTTCTAATAGGTTTCTCAAATCAGTTATCAACTGCAGGTGGTGGTACATACTTGTAGTCCTAGCTACTTGGGAGGCTGCAATAGGAATCAAGCCCATGAATTCAAGACCAGTTGGGGCAACATAGTTAAGACCCTGATTAAATATGCCACATGTGGTGGCATAACCTGTAATTCCAGCTCCTCGAGAGGCTGGCTAGTTTGAGGCCAGGCTGGCAATTTAGCAAGGTCCTGTCTCAAACTACAAAGGACTCAGGATGTAGTTTAGTGCAAGGCCCTGGGTTCAATCCCCCGTACCAAAACAAAGCAAACTAGTCATTGTGTTATACATAGACTTCTCAGGGTTATTTCCATCTCTTTTAAACATGTGATTATTCTCTCATTGCTTGTCTTACTTATTTTTGCTTTCCTTTTCATAAACCAGGATCACAGAAATTTATTTTGTTGAACTTCAAAGAAGTAAATTGGGGCATGGCCTGTACTCCTAGCACTTGGGAGCTGAGGCAAGAGGATTGCTTAGACCTCCTCTCAAAAAAAAAAAAATTGTTGGGAGTTTAAGCTTTCTACTATTATTTAATATCTTCTATTTTACAATTTCAGTTTTTGTAATGATTCTTCTTCCCAGTCTCTCTTTTTCTTTTATAATTTCCTAGTATGATTCTAACATCCTTAATTTTTTCTAAGGTCCATTTAAAAAAAGTTTTTTTAAAATTTTTATTTTGAGATAGTCTCTCTATGGAATTCAGGCTGGCCTTGGAACTCACTATGTAACGCAGGCTGGCCCTGAACTCCAGGTAATCCTACCTCAGCCTTCAAGTGCTGGGATTACAGGCATGTACCACCACACCCATTTTAGAGATTATATTAATCTCTCATTTTGAGTAAAGACATTTTTAAAGTTGTAAATTGGCTTTCAAATATACCTTATATTGGGCCGGGGATTTAGCTCAGTGGTTCTGCCGCCTGCCTCACAAGCGCAAGGACCCAAGTTCAATCCCTGGTACCAAAAAAAAAAA